TAATATATATATATTTATATATGTATTGCAGCCCCCACTGCAATTTCCAGATTAACCATTCTGCACTCAAATTTGCGTCCACAACGTTCCAAACTACATATATGGCGTAACACTTCACACAGCTCTACTTAGCATGCCAAGTTCCAATTTAGTTCAAATGGTGTCAAGTTTTCCACAATTATTAATTTGACCTTTTGCCAGTCAGATGGAAAGTTGGCCAACGACAAGCCTATCAAGTTAACTTTTCTTACTTAACCTTCTAGTATCAATTTGTTCGTATTTGAACCTCAAAATGTGGATATACATGTAATTGTTGTTTTTTTGTTTTCTTTAATTGTAGTTCTTTTTAAGTTGGTTGTTGTTTTGTTTGTTTTGTTGTTTGTTTGCTTTTGGATGGGGGGGGCGGAGGGGTGGGTGTTTGTGTGTGTGTGTGTCGGGGGGGGGGGTTCTTTTTGTGGGGAGTGTGGGGGAGGCAAAATACATGTGTATCATTACATTAATACAATTAACATCAGAAGTTTTTTATATTGCCTTTCTAATGTCGTGTCATTGCAGAGTCAAAATTATTATTCTAATTCTTTTTTGTTGTATGCACTAGAGGATTAAAAATACAACGTCTGGTAACTCTTGTGATCTTGCCACGGTTTGCTAGATTTCTGGATAAAATGTAAGTGAGTCTGCTCATTTTAGTTCCAACGTCATTGTTTTTACGCCCCCACCCCCGTTACGCCATTTATAAAATAATGTATTAGAAGGCAGGCTGCCTGCGTGTATCGGCCAACCTGGGCTCTGAGGGATACAACATACAAACAGGAAAATCGAGATCCTTGGTGAAAATGTTCGCCCAATTTGAGAATCGAACTCAGCACTATTGGACATTATCATATGCATTTTTTCTACTAATCAGAGGGCGTCAATCTCATATAAATGGGCAAGAGATCAAAAAAGAGAAAAAATGGAATCAAACTCAGGTCTTCTGGGAAGTATACAGTGCAAACAGTCGGGTAAGCGCTCATACACTAACAATCTGACTGGGCCTTGTCTGAACTCACCTTGAAGGTGGTGACGACCCCGCCCGTGGTGATGTCCAATATGTTGACCACCATTCGGTCTCTAGACAGAGTGACCACTCGCTGCTGGCTCTGGAGACCGAACAAAGGAAGCCTCAGATTGAGCACTCCCCTCAGCTTCGTCACAAAGCGACCCTCGTCCAGGTCAAGAATCACAAGCTCTCTATTGCACAACACTAGTGCCTTTGACCCTTCCACCATCTGCAGCGCTTGAGGGTGGTCCAGTCCCAGAAGAGTCCTCTCTGTTTCGTTGGTGCTGGAGTTCAAAACTTTTATCTCGCCCTCTGACCTAAGGAGAACGGCCACGTGATTCCCCGAGGGTGACACCGGCACCATGGCCGTGATCTCCGGTAGAGGCATGTGAGGGTTGACCAGGGACTCCTGACTCACCTCCTCCTCCGGCAGGACGTGCAGCAAGGGGCGAGGAGGAGCGTGCAGAGTTTTCAACAGAACGGAATGATCACACGACTTGGTTTTCTTGCTCCCAGAATTCCCCTTCTCTGCCACTGTCAGCGTGAGACATTTGTAGATTTCACCCCCGCTCACGGAGAGAGTTTTGGAGCATCTCCCGATGTCTCGTTGCATGGACGAGAGTATCGGAGACGAGGACGGATCCATTGACTTGGCTTGCTCGAGATCACAGATGAGGTGAAGGACGGATGTGGCACAGAGTTTGTCCTCAATCCAGGGCAGGTTGAAGAAACACGTCTCCAATGTGTAAGAGCTCTTGTTTCGGCTGTGGATCAGGTGATAAGGCAGACACATAAACTTTCTCACGTTGAGAAACTTCCCGTACCTCTCTGCTTGCGGCATGATGAAACGATCTTGTAACAACTCGATTTCTTCCACGGGGCTCGGGTACGGTTTCTTCTTCCCCGCCCAGCGTCCTTGGAAGTAATCGCTGATCTCCCGGTGAACGATTGCCGTACCCGGACCGGTGGTCAGATATCTTTTCTTCGCGCAGCTCCGAAACGAGCGACTGGCCCAAGAGCAGGTGGTGAACTCGCGAGATGTGAAAGAGTGCATGAATTCCCGGAGATAAAAAGAGATGGCCTCCCACAAAACAGACGGCGCTCTGTTGATGGGCGGGTCTCCCTGGTCCGAATAGATGCCCAGCAAGACGGAGTCGTTAACGGACAACAAATCGTTCATCTCGCTCACACTCACACCGGCGTAGGAGCTCGTCAGATAGGCCATGGTGGCGCTAAAGCCGTCTTTGGTTAAAGCTTTTTCCAACATCTCAAACAGCAGGCTGATCATTCCTTCTACAGAATCGGGAATATCCTCTAACACAATGTCGGTGGATGCGTTCCAGGTGGCCACCAGCCTGCCAGCTAGAACAGCGTAGAGAGGGAGGGAACGGTTGGAGAAGAAAGAGAGGACGTTAAGGCCTTGGGAATCGGTCATTGTTCTTTTTCTCTGATGAAGAGTTCTCTGGAAGAGTTGTGTCATTTCCTCTTTGTCCCAGTGTGTGGCCTTGATGCTGTATGAGTCTTTCATCTGAGGGGTAGATCAAAAGGTGGCCATCTTATGGCAGCGTTGGACGGGATAGACAGGTGAGGCAGAGACAGAGAGAGGAGGGGAGAAAGAGACAGAGAGGGTGGAGGAAGAGAGAAAGATGTGAAGAAGAGGGAGGTGGAAGGAGATAGAGATAATGATGGAGTGAGAAAGATGGGGAAAGAGAGGAAATAGGGAGATGATGATGATGGAGAGAGAAAGAGAGGACGGAGAGCAAAAAAACAAGTGGACGAGTTAGTGAGTGAAAGCGATAGTAGGAAGGAGGAAAATGAAGGAGTAAAGGAGATTCTCCTTCAGTGAGAGAATGGTGTACACAAAAGAAAAACATGAGCACGCATTTGAGCATTCATTCATAAAGTGCTAGATTTGAAACAGACATCAGCAATCATGGTTCTCCATTTATTTTTCCGCTCGGGTGCACATTATCCTGTAGTTTCCCTGCTACCCATCTGTTCAGGTTTTTCAGATAGGTTTTTCTGGGTCTGCCCCTGACTTGTTTTCCTTTTATCTTACCCGTGAGAGCTAGATGTTCGAAGCAAAAGTCAAGCTTCTAAGATCACTGTGTTCAAGTAATTTCTATTTGCTTGAAAGCTCTCCCATTATATCAAGTCTTTGCCCTAAGGATAAAAGAAATATTTTCTTTTTTCTACTCATAAGCTCTAGTGATGTATGGTATGAGGCGGGGTAGAGAAGCATTAGACAAAAACGATTTAACTATGTTACAGTAGACAATACAACAAACAAGAGATAGACATTTGCTTCTCCCCTCGACTCCATAAGGCAATAGAGGGCAGAAATAGTAAAAGTAAATAACTTACTTACTTGGACTCAAAGACACCAAAGGCGGGGCCGCCACTCCATTTCTTGTCTATTAGATCTAGTTTCAGGTCTTTCCCAAAAGTATGTATCCAGTTTATCTTTGGTCGTCCCCTGCCTCTTCTCCCGTCGAATTTCCCCAAACAAAAGTAAGTAACAGTCCCACAAAAAGACAGTAAATACGTACCTTTGCCTTTAAGCCCCGAGCCACTTCCGGGTCACTGGTCAGAATGACCAACGTGGTGGTGGCCGGCAGCGGCCCGTCTAAGGTCATCAGGTCAATCTCCTTCGAGTCCGGACCAGAAACACTCGGCCCCTCCAGGATGATGAGCACCGGCATGTTCTGTGAGCTCCGGGATACAATGTCTGCCAGCAGAGACCGACCGCCCTTCTGTGGGTAAAGGAACAGTAAGTGAATGGGTGCAACTCCCTTTTCAACACTATAGTGCAGTCACTAATTCGTGGCTCAACTTATCCTCAAATATTTCTTTAACGTGAGAATCAATGTCCCTCATACTTTGCGCAGAAGTTAGTATCAATTTGTCTCTTCTTAAAATGCGGCCAAAAATTCGTGGAGCAACTTATTGTCAAAGGTCTCCTTAACTATTGAACATAGCTTCTCCAACTTTTGTACAATGAAATAACTTATATCAGTTTGTCTTAACTGATGAATATTGCTTCAATAATTTTTTTTTAAACCCTGTCCATGGTCCCTACAGACTTTTAAAAGTGTACAGCTGGGGATCTCTTTTAAAAGCAAGTATGTCATTGTTTTATTAGTTGCGACATTAAGCTAATTGAACTCATGTTTTGAGAACCTTTAGGGCTGAAAAATTGGTTCATTATAAATCTATTTCTTGTAACAAATTTTACCACAAAAAGGTGTCATTGGGGAGCTGTGGTGTAGGCCATATATGCGTATGCAATATGTGTGTGAGGATTGCTGTGATCAATCTCATTTTCCGCGTGGCGGAGCTTTATAATATTGTATATAAATTTAAGAAGAAAAGTTTGTTTTTGGCATCTCGCCTCTATTGTTGTGGGAAAATATGATTCGGTTAAGACAAACTGATACGAACTACTGTGCAAAGTATGAGTGACCGTGATTCATCCATAGTGAAAGAGATATTTTGATATTTGAGGATAAGTTACGCCACGAACTTTTTACCGCAGCGATAACTTAACCCCCC